TCGACGTAGTGGATTTTTGAAATGGCTTTAGTTCGAGCTCCGTTGCTAACATGCACAAAAGCACAAACGCCTTTGAACGCGCTCCTCCAGATTCTATCCAAAGGGCCAAGTCTAGGTTAATATGATGCATGCACTCAAAAACAAGCGCATCTGAGTGCGACTGATGAGTTCATCTTTTTAGGTGAGCTCTTATGCTTAGCGTTCTTGTTTCTAAGCACGGTCATTCGAGCGAAGGATCATCTTCCAAGCATTCTTGACAATTTTCAAGGCAAGAACCCATATGAATGACTGGGTGTTGAAGACAACATGGCGGGAGTGGATGAAATAGGGTGCCAGAAGATCAAGACTACAAAGCCGGCCGTTGAATAGGTTTGAGTGGAACGTAATACGAAAAGAGAATCCGAAACTTTGATTGAGCACCATAGACGGGTAGTGCACATAGAATCTGTTTGAGTCTGTCAAGCTGGCTTTAGGGGAAAGTACAAAAAACTTTTGTAACTATAATCTACAGCCACTTATGCTGTAAAATATTTCAATGTTAAATTACGCGTACCTTCCGAAGGCGAAAGTATTAGTTGATGGTGAATAGTGTACGTGGGTTTGTAACTGTGTCGTATAACATTTTATATTATGCCTAACGGATGCCTGATACCTCGAAGTCTTCTATTCAACTGACCTTCACACCTTATATGTACCCTCAGGGGGATTGGCGGTGAGCCAGTTTGAATACAGTCAACTTAAACTGATGTTTGCAAATAAGACAATTCATTGAAGCTATTTTACCAATTAGGTGTTCACGGTTTCGAAAATCAGTGTCAGTTCACCAGGATTATAACTGACCCGTTGCATCCCATTAAACCCCATGCAATAGTATTGGCTAAACCTCTAAAGTCGGAAATTCAATTCTGAAGTGACCTTCTCGCCGAACTACATAATCCCGATGCATTCGCAGCAGTAAGCATCTGACGGGCGAATATCTTGATACAGACAGGCATTCTACTTGTGTAGAAAGCTTGCAGACTCAACATCATCGTTGTGGTGTTTATCAGCAGACGAATTCGTCCCACCAGACTGCTTCGGGGTTGTTTGCTTCATTTTTTGCAAACGATCAGTTGTTGCTTAGTCTCTTTCCAGTGAGAATTGTGTCCCACAGGTGCAGAGGATCGGAGAATGGTTTACATGAATAGATGTTTTTAGAACCAAGCGAATCAACCAGCTGTTTGATTTGATTCACAATCGCAGTCACTGCCTGTTCCTCCGAATCAGGATGAACACCGTACACAGTACACAATACCGATTTCAATGGCATAATTTATGGGAATCTGGTTTGACTGCGTGAAGCCGTGTTGTATGTGGAGTCATACTGATTGTCACCCAGTATCTGCGAACTCCCAGATAAGGAACGAAGATGAACTCGGACGGACGCTTCGTGTACGGACGAAAGAGAAATCGTGATACGGCATGCGGCATGCTGACAGAAGTGAATATTGGTCAACATCATTTGCCGAAGTCTGGTGCGGGACACCAGTGTGACTCCCGCAATTTTGGGCACACACACGGGAAAGTGTGGGACCGAGGCCGACCTAGCCCTGTGTTGTCATGCGGCTCTTCCTAGAGTGTGCGAGAGATCGACACCGCAAATTTGGAGCAGACTTGGTGCTACCGGTTCGGCCCATTTAACAATAGTGCTTGAGGAGGTTATGAATTTGAATTTAAGGAACATAATTCCATCAATCAATAGAAAGGCAAAATGGCGAGTCTGTGGCGAAACCGGTCGTAGTAGGTTGCATTGTTCATGAACAACTGCCAAGTTTGAAAAGCTGGCGTTTGCGCACCCACGATATCTTAGAGAAAACTAAGACAAATCAAGAAGAATCTTTATGAAATTTCCACGGATGCATGCGGTTGGTCAAGAAAATTTCGATGCAGAAATGCGTTCGGTTAGTAGTGATGGGATCTTTCCGGTGCCAAGTTCGATAGACGTTTCGACCTTAACAAATCAAAATCCAGTGAACGGGTTTGCCTACATATTCCAATAAATTTGTGTACCAAGCAAATTTGGGCGAGAAACGATATACGAATGTGGGTTTGAATTGTCTGGAACAAATCAATGGTATCTACCAGTAGTTTGGCCAGTTGCGTGGTCACCAGTGTGCACCTCTCTTCCCCACAACTATATTGTCGTAACATTCACATGCCCACGAAGATCAAGGAAAATCCACCAGTGGCACCCAAGGTGAATCATCAAGTGCAGCACCCCGAAGCGGAAGATTAAGGAACAAAAAGCGATCGGAACTAATTTGAAACTCCTCCAACCCATCAAGTCAAGATTTGGGCACCCACACTAACCCGCAAGAGCCGTCATTTGACACTTAACACTGCTCTAGTGTGAAGAGGACTTACTTATTGGTTCCCCTCCTGTCGGGTAACCTGTTCACTTGATCTGGTGAAGCTTTTGTGTCAAAAGCGAAACGTTGCCCGAATAAAAACTACCGACAAACTCTTCGAAACGACTTTTGAAGTAATTATCCTGCTGAATGGCTTAATCCGGTATAGCTGTATTGTTGCCCGAATTGTGAACTTGTAAAGTCAAGTGTGTGTGCAAACTTTCATGTCATTAACAGGGTGCTGATTCTCCTTCAGGTTGCCACCCGGTTCTCTACCCCTCGAGAATTCAAGCCCAGAGTCATAAGAAGCTCATCCTTTTTTGTCTACAAAGGAGGGATTTCTCGGTCTGAGAATAAGGTCATGAATTCGACCACCAAATGGGAAATCTTGACACAGTCTAATGGCCACGTGGCTACTCGAAATGGCGCAATCCTCATGCGATTTTCAGGTTGCTCCAAGCCTGCTGACGACTCTTGCACAGTCTGGAAGTATATCAATATGTCAAGCTCTACGGATAGTCGAGTTTACATCACAATGCAAAGAACAACTTCGACCTCAATTTCCAATGTTACCCGCCTGGCGTTATTCGGCGTGTGAATTTCGACGATCTTAGCGTACAGGTATGACGGTTGTCGATCTGAATGTACATCGCCTGGAATTCTGTGGGAGACAGAACACAACAAAGCGGTCTATCAAGTCTAAGTGGATGCAGTGAGACAGTCACACCCGCATACTATCATTAGCGGCACCGCGTGATTTCGTGATAACCTATAAACCACGTTAATCTTAATCTCTTCTTTGGGTTCCGAAGTGCTAGATGCGACAGGGTGTTTGGTGCCCACCCAGTTTGCCGCAGGTTTTTCTTTCTGGAGAGTTAAGTAGGGATTCTGTTGCAAGACACCGCAGTGATAATGTGAGCCTGAAACCTTCAAAACATTCGATAAAGGAAAACACTGTCTGAAGGGGAACTTTTTGGAAAAGTCCCATGTCTGTGAACACTCATAACAGCGCCACCAAATGTCAACAGATGCATTTAGAAATGGGTAAAGATGACGGTTTTTTCGTCCTGTGAACCAGGATTTGAATAAGCTCAATCCAATGAGACTGTAAACAAGAGCTACTTAATCCGTGCACTGAGGAACAAACTCGCCTTGAATCGATGGCTTTAGGGTGTGCAAACGAACTTTTCAGAACGCATCCTGCACTGTTCCAAAATTTCTCGAACGCTGGGCAGAAGGTAATGCCATCAGGGAGATTTCGATGTTCCAGGCTTGCACAAAATGATAACTTGCTTAGCACCATGAAGCAAAAGGGCAAGTCACAATCAGCTGATCAGCGGTGTGATTAAGTCTCACTCAGACACCACTCTTCCTTCAATCACCAAATCCACTTCACGTGGTCAGGTGATGCCTGTTAAAACCTCCTGATATTGACTGGTCATCATGATTATCTAAATGGTATTGATCACATGCATTTTCAAACTATTTTGAAGGCTTTGTGTTCTTAATTGATGGTGCCTGTGTTGTGACCTATTGTGTAAGATGCGATCGATCCTAATTGGCTTATGTAGTGTGTAGCTCTCCTGTTTCTTAAGTGAACCAGCTGAAGCTTGTTAGCACTTTCGCAGGACTCACGAGGAACTGTCCACTGGAAAATGTATCTACGAATGAATTTTTGAAACAATGATCTCCTGACCACTCCACATTAAATGAACATCACGGAGATAACCCCTCCAAATTAAAGAACATCACGGAGACGCTGACGTTCTTAGTCTTAACAAAGGACGCAACGCCATATCGCTGAGACAAACTATCCGGCTTTGTGAACCGAGGTGCATTCTCCGTCTGACATGACCAGCGTATAAGCAGCTGATACGAGCCGAATTATGGATACAGCCATATTTCTCTCTTGACTGCTATGATACCCGTTTACAATGGTGATAAGATTGTTTTTCAGTTAGGTATGCAACTGACTGATAAGGTATTCAAATGAGTGGAATCCAGTCAAAATCGATCGTGGCTTGAGGTAACTTGAGTTTTTTTCCTTGGGGTTCACTGAGTGGAGTCTAAACCTACTAAGCGACTGATTTTATTGTGTGAACTCGCGAACACAGCGGCATCATTCTGGTCGGAACACGCAGAAATAAGTGGACCGAATAAGGAGCCACTGAAGCGGAATTCAAGCATGGTTTATGGCGCTTTTGGTGTTCCGATCTTCGTCATTTTCCAGACAAGCTGCAGGAGGATTCGGCTTACATGGAAGCATACACACGAAAATGTACGCGCAACAAAATGCAACAGTCAGAATGGTCAGAGCTGAACCACACCGTGTAGGCGGGTCAGAACACAGTGTTCTGGAATGATGACCTTTAGCAACTACAGAACAACGACACTGCTCAGTTTTGATCAGCCCCGACTCGTCAGGTATAGGTGTGGTTGGGCCAGACAGAATCTACCTCAATCTGCATTTCAAATCAATAAAATATGATAAGAGACACACGATCGTAACTACCGTCATGTTTTCGGAATCCGGTGTTACCGAGGTCCGCTTTGGGTTAACAACCAAACTACAACCGATTATTTCACAAACAAGACGACTTGTCACTTTGTAACTGGTGTTTTATTGCTACATACTGTGAACTCCAGCGGCTGATAGTACTTCTGATTGCTTTGAACGCTCGAAGCATTTCACATATAACAAAATTTTGATACAATGGGACTGGTGTTTGGAATTCACGATTGAACGGGAGGGGGTGGAGGGCAAAAGTAACAAAAATAGTCACGGAAAATAAACACCATAGAAACAGCTATGCCCATGAAGTTTATACGACACACACACACACATTTTGATACCACAGCAGATGAACTGTCAGTTGAAACACTCCATCACTATGGATGTTGCATGCACTTTCTGTTTTTACTTTGAACTAGGTGAAGCATTTCAGGGTGTCATGGTGAGATGACTAAAATATCGAGTCAAGTAATTTTCAATAAGTCTTGTATGAAGAACAAAGGCGATCGGTAGATTGGCAAAAATATACAGGCTAATAGGGACAAAAAAAGGCGCAAAAAGAAGTCTCCAAAACCGATAATCCGTTGCTCTTTGAAACAAGTGACATCTGTGTCTATACACGGGGAACTTCTGGGATTTACTGATCAAAAAACCAACCCGGTCGATTAATGAAAACAGCTTTGTGGAATGGGCTGGAAGCTCCAGTATACTTCGAGGAATCTCAAACGCAATTCATCCACTGTAATGCAAAATAAAACGAGGTACAGTTGATTGTTCGAGATGAGTCAAGCTGAAAAGGAAATCGGGTGATAATATAAGATTTTTCAGAAAAAAGGCGGGGCAATCGAACAACCACCAGGACACATTTGATGGTCATTCGCGACGTCGGGCAAACCAGTCACATCTCCCAAGCGTGAACACGTTAATTTGTCCCTCCGTGATAACTTAGATGAGTCTGGCATGTGCTGATGGAGTAGTGGTAACACTTTCGCCTCCAATGTTGGGGGATCGCAGTTCACCGTCAGCGAGATCCAATGGGGACGAAACTTTTGTCCAGTGCTTTCTTCCTTTTGTTTGAACTCACCAGTACAATTATGCTAGTATGGGAATAGGACTGTTGAAGCGACCGTGATGTGAAATTTGAATCCAATGCCCCATTGATAAACAATGTAACCTATATATTTCACACATTCGATGTGTGAAAAGTTGGTTGGTAAGAAAGATAAATTATTGTATTTCGCACACTAATATGAACCATGTGGACTGGGCATCCGCAACTATTTGCTATCGCCAACACAACCCGATGCACGAGGGCGTCCAAATCCGCTTTAATTTCCAGTTAGTTATCATCGTAGCTTCATCAGTTAGAAGAAAATGTTCTTAATATTCGAAAAGTCGAACGTTGGTTGCCTTTTGCCAAAATACCCAGCTTTCAGAAAGCACTACGTGAAGGATGAGGGCGCTTGTATGGATAGATCATGGCACAGACGGACGAGGAGGAGATTAGTTAGTCGCTGAGCTCTTTCTTATACGATGCCGCTGGTTAGACGTCTCTCAGCTAAAATCACCAAACTTTGACCACGCATCCCGAAGTGCGTGCGCCATTAACTGAGAATAATTGGTGAATAGAATTTTAAAGCATTTCAGCTGGGGAGGGGCCGTATGTCAGTTGCACATAAAAGGAAAGACCGGTCGTCAAACTGTTTGAGTGGGTTGGATTATTTTATCTAGCATTCCCCTCCTGACTTGACCTCAGAAACGTCATGCGCGTTTCGTCATTTCAGACAGGCAACCACATTACGTAAGACTGTCTGTCCACTTTCTCCAGACTCGCAATCAAAATGTTCTGTTGTATTGGTCAGAATGAAATCACCATGGCAACCCTGTGCGTCTATTTATAGAAGAGTAAAATTGAAGTTTCAGAAGCAGAAGATCAAGAAGCCCGGGGGAGTAATGACGGCTTCATTGACTGGTGATTGGGGCTACTATTTTTAGCGTGTGCGACTGGAAAACCCAATCCCGTATAAGATTAGTGGGCAATGAAGTACTGGCCATAGTCACGAAATGCTCAAGTTGGACAACTTTATCGCGGACTGCAATTCGTGTTGAACGTTGGTGTTGGAAACCGGTATTATGTAACTTTGGGAATTTCACTGCCTAATGTTCTGGTCTGTGCTGCGATGATCTGGTCAATTATGAGATCGGTACATTAGTTTGAGCCATTGTCTGAGTGCCCAAACCAAAGTCATGAGTGTGTTGCAGATAAAGAGGTTTGCTGATGTTATGAACATCGCGAACAAGTAAATAATGATGCTGTCCAGGTGATGCGCAGTTTCAAAACCTTCGGTGATAACTTTGCTAATTTTTTTTTGCGAGTTCCATTTGCTCATTCGGTTCTGCGTACCTGGTGAGATATTTCGAATGAATAACCTGGAATAACCTTGTGTCCTCGTCAATCCAGGATACCATGTAAAATTGACGTTTTAGTTGCGCTGCACCGGTTTTCTGAGCACATGTAATCGGGTGACGAAATTCGTACGAACAGTTACCCTTCTGAAGACTAGTTTTCACAATTCCGCTTTACATTCATCGGACGCACTGCAAACTTTAACATCCAGTAGGCGATAAATGACTACTTATAATAAACGTTCTATAGAACTCTCAAGTTAGCTTTTTTGACCACGCTGCAAATGCGTCAACAAAGAGAAAACTTTTGAATGACTGCTACTCAGAGCACCCAGCACCCAGTTTGGTTACTGATGTAAAGCGTCTGGTGTTTGCGTTTGGTCAACTGTATCCCCGCTTTCTCAAAATTACGAGCAAATAAAACGGTGTGACAGTTTCATCACTGTGGCAATCCCCATCCAGTATACTCTCAAGGAATTATGGTGCTTTGGTTATCGAGTCTGAATGACCGTTGATCTAGATCGCTTGTGAGTAATCAAATATACGCGACCGGATGGAAAGTAAGTTTCATTTGTAATCGATAATAATACAGAACCGCTTGGGATACATCTCAGGGGGGCTCCGCAAGACAAAATAGTCCAGAGCTACAGAGCTACTCAAAGATGATCAACCGAAAAGTCATCACTATAACGAATCTATTAGTGTCCAACTGGGTAATCTGAAAAGAATTTTTTGCCCTTTTATTCTTCAATGCCTCGGCTAAATGCGTAAAACAAACTCGTAAAAGTGGCAGAAGCAATGAAAACGCCCCAATGAACAGGCCGGGCTGTCACGGTTTCAAAGTGTGTTGGCTGGCCGACTGGATCTAGTGAACCTGTTTGGGCGTCACCAAGATGCATGCACATCTCTTGGTGGAGCACTAATAGAACAGCGGCCACACAAAGCTTAGAAATTTGAAAATTTTTGCACTGTGTCGCCCTCCACCAATCCAGAATTTCATCGATCACACGCAAGCAAGCTAAAAGGCATGCCTTGGTTCCATCGCACACCTTGACCCCAAGTCTGACGTGAGACATTCACCTATGAAACCAGGTACTAAGTCATTTTCAAAGTCTCTGACTTGCACACACAACTAAAACGTCAGAATTTCTCTGCGAAACGGAGACCTGGAAAGACAACGTGTATACTCCTGCACATCGTTTCAAATCAACTCCACGAAAAAACCCTTGAAATATCATTAGAAATTTTTGTTTTCCAACACGTTTTTCCGTTCTGAAGGATTAGTTCATTCATTTTGTTGTATATTCTGGCCAATCAGGTTGGACCCGATGGTTGTTAAGAAACGATTCAGTTCTTCTGCTGGAAGAAACTGATTAGGGGCGTGTTCTGGTCAGTTTTCCTTTCCTGCAATTTTCTCAGTACAACAGGTATTAGGAAAACCAAAATGTATCTGGCTATAGTATCTCCGTTTCACTGTAGATACTTAGATTTGCTGGGCTAAGTTTATGAGATGAGTACAGTTTAAACTTGTGTGTGCAACTAGGAAATGAGGTGAATGCAGTCACAATGGGTCTGTGTGAGTCTTTAAATCTCTTTGGCCTTGAGGAGATAAATTCAGGTTGGTTTTGACTGAATGCAGTGGCCTGAGTTGTTTTCGGATACTGCCTGACACTTTGCGTTCTCGAATAATCTGCTGTCAAGTATGTCACCACGAAAGGCAAGTGTGTTTTGCTGCACTGAACTATACTAGTCAACATGATGCGTTGCTGGTTGTGCAGACGTAAGGAGCCTCGTCAAGTCAGATATATATATATATATATGAGAATATTGTTAGTTGTGTACGTCATGGTTGTACGAAGGCTGGGATACTGCCAGGGCGCCCACACCTGGACAGGAGGGCGATTAGGGTCCTCAACCAAAGCTTTTGGCTCAAAAGCCTAACCGCAAGGCAGCGGTGTTTGGCGGGAAATGCAAATGCATTACCATTTTTTACGGAACACGTCACCATACATGTTCAAACCCCCAACCTGGAGGGCCAGGAGTCTGTGTCCGTCGGGCTTCTACCCATGGTATGAGAGACTCTGTGAGCATCGTGCGGACACTCCCCAGTATAGCTCAATGGGTCGCCAAGGTACACAAACCGCCACACCACGGTAAGGTCCAGCCTCTTCGCGACTTCCATTGAAGAATGTGTCCAGCACCAGAAGCTGCGTTGGTTGCCATCAGCCAAACTAAATAAACGCACAGTCAGGTGGAGGAATCACTCACACATTCACTTGTCAGTCTCAGCGAACAACCGAACACTTGACCAATCCACCAAAACCCCCAAACGGTCGGAAGCAATGGCTTGTGAGAAACACGTCAGTAGCGTGCTGAGAATGTACCTTAATGGATGAACGGTCTGTTCAGCGTAGGAAGGAAGATTGACTTTTTGGAGTTTCCATCAGTAGAATATGACGTCCGATTGAGTATCGACTTCAGATTCACCCGGACGTTCCTTTTACCTTGAGCGAAGAAATATGTAGTTGCCTGCTGTTGAATCGTTGTTGATGAAAACTGTTGGAAATCCGCATTATTCAGGTTTCTTTATCCAAGTTGTTGACTGTGCGCCTCGAAAACAAGTACATTCAAGGTGAACACTGCCTTGCACAGTGCTTAATTCGACACTCACTTATTTGGATTCGTATGAGAGTAGGGAAATCATTTTTAAGCTGACTATGCTGACCATTTCGGAGAAGCCACTCCTTCCAAAGAAAGTTCCAGAATTGTTGGTCACCAAAAGGTTCCACAAGCACGAGATAATCAAACAGTCGCACTAGACGTGTACCATCCGTGGCGCTAAGGATTAACGCTTGGATCAACATCTCGGCTCAGCAGGTAAACTACTTCTACACTCACAATCTGGTAAGGCAACTGACAGAGACGTGAGAAATCTATCGGACAGCTTTGCCCAGAGAACATGTAAGGTACTGGACTGGTGCCCAACTGGGAATCCACACTAGGCCATCCAGTTTTTTATAGACCAATAGTATGTTGGAAAAAAGCACTGCTTTTCTTGTCCTGTGTGATGTGGGATTAGATTAATCATCAACGTGACATCAGGTTTTGTGAGTAAACCGTTTCTCTGAATCCAGCTGTAGGAGGTTGGATTTTCAGTTGATGAATCTTAAGCGCATCGGCTACAGGAACAAAAGTTACCATGTTCTTTGTGTCAAATGCTGCGCAACTACGTACATTTTGTAAAGAGGGGGCCGCTTGTCATATCAGCGGTTTATTGTGGCTATTTAGACAGCTAGTAGACCCTTCAATTGAGAGTAGCCCATCGACTAACTGATACAGGGCACGTGCGAACGGTGCACCAATACATTGTATCCTGGGCATCATGCTGTTTATCTGCAATCCATCCTGATTGATTTTACTATCTACTCTAGTGATCCGTGTGACAATCCGTGCAATCGGATCAATGTACACTATATGGATAGTGTGTTTCGGTGGGAGAGTCAGCTTATCGGGCAAGAAGAGTTGTGAGTTTGCGACCGCGCGTCCACTCAAAGTCTCCCAAGTTATTTCTCCAACACTAAACTGAGTGGGGGAAAATAAGAGAAAACACACTCACTCGGATAGTATGTCTATCCGTCTACTGTCTGTCTATCTGTCTATTGTTTGCCTGTCTGCCTGTCTATCCGTCTGTCTGTCTATCTGTCAGTCTCTCTACCTGTCTGTCTGTCTGTCTATCTATTTGGCTGTCTGGCTGTCTGCTTGTGTGTAATGTATGTATGTATGTACGTGTGCATGTATATATGTATGTAAAATATGTGTTATGCACCATATTGTAGCTCATAAAATCATTCTGTATATGGGAGCTGTGAACCAGAATAAGGAGGCCCACTTGAATGTACACTTTGCTTGTTTCTCGGGCTAAGCTTATTCGAGATGGGCAGAGTTTTTTTATAGAAGGCGTTGACCCACTTAACGGTTCAGTTAATTTGTTATCAGGATGTCGATGAGAATTTCCAGACCATATATTATTACAAATACGTACGTCGATTCACTGAATGAAACAACCATTATCGAGGCAAAATTCTTTGATCTCCCAAAACTGGACATTGAGATTTTCTGGGAAGAGACCAGTTTGCGCGTTCCTTTTTTCAACAACAGGTTGAAAAATGTTCAGGAACTTTCTGGAATACCACATAATTTCCCACCCTCTGAAGGTTATTCAACTGCTCTTCTATCATGACAGTGTTTGGACACGTATAACAGCCGTTTGTGTGGACAAGGTCATACGTGGGACCATTTTATGCCGTGATGATCATTTGAGTTAGCGGGAAAAGGATAAAACGTGAACAGTGCCTTACTTGTCTGTGCTTTCGATGCATTCAACGAAGCTCGAAATGACGAAGGTGCATTACCGCCACTCTCCGGTTTTCCAGGTGAGAAGTTGCTGTGTACCAAATTCGGTATGCCCGGATGAGCGAGATCGCCATGTTTTGGCGATTCGTACTCCGAGCAAATGGCCTCCTCAGAGAGTCTGTCTGTCCATATTACGGGGCAGGAAAATAATACAGCTTCAGACCAGAGCTGTAGGTTCCATTCGCACGGAATAGGGTAGTATAATTCTGGTCGGTTCTGAATAAGAACATTCAATGCTGACTTTCCATGAAAACACATGTGGGAGACGGAGGAAAAAAAGTGTTAGGTTACACGTTGTTTAGGTACAGGTTCAGTTATCTGCAGCAACAGTGAGGTTAAATTGGGCTAGGTCGATAGCAGCCAGAAGTAGTATGGTTATCATGTACAATTTATAGTAATACTACTAATAATATTAATATCAGCAGCCCCGATAACTGGATAATCATGGGGACATGGAGACCGGCGTAGCTCGCCCACCACAAATGGGTGTTCAACATTAGTGATCACCCTCAAACACTACCATTTCACCTCATGGAGCACTTGTTTTAGTGGTACATCAGTGATAGGTCTGCTTAAATTCAGAGAATTCTTCTGTCTCGATGGAACCCCTTTGCAGACTGTTTCTTTGTGGACATGATGAAAATAGAAAAAGTGAAATATTATTTCTTTTAAGGTGTTTCAAACAGCATTTCGAGTGACACATGAGGTCTTATGACTAAGGCGGGGTTTCTGAAATACAATGCCGTTACAGTTTTGTCAGTTGCGAATTTCACTGTAAAGGGGAAAACCTCTGCAATAATCGGCTGTTTGTGTATCCTACAGTGTTCCATACCATTGAAGGTCTGTTGCCTCCCTGTTACACAAGATAGCTGATGCTTTTAAATCCCAAGTTCAGAACAGCGCTAGGCGTATATGCTTCGATCGATCTGTTCAGCTGTGATTCGACCTCACACGGTGCTGTCTGGCCGGACTTCTCCATTCAAGGTCATGTCCTAGTAATCCACATATCAGAAACCGTCTGAAGCTAGATGTGCCCATCTGTTTTGTCAATTGTGAAAACCATAGGCTTTGATATTTCAGGCGATGCTACCTAATGGGCGCCGATACCTAGACACTTTGATATGCTCAACCTCAGAATTGAGCCGACTGAGCCCCAAAAGTTATCTTTGGGTGCATTGATGCCCGGTTGGTTTCATCACCAATGGTTCATCGAAGTTGCTGCAGCCGTCGACTTGCGCCAAGTGTTTTTCGGCAATAAATAAAGCGGTGCGATATCCATGTCTGAGAATGCAATTTACTGCACTTTGCCTTACACCGTATCGGTGTCATGGGACCCTAGCTGATAAAGTGCAGCTGGGCTGTACAACGAGCCAGTGTACTTTTACTTGATTTGGGGTGATTGACTGGACGAAATGATGTGCCTAGTGTGGCGCACTTCAAGGTTTTTTTGTTTAAAACTGCTAGCTTTCTGGCACCATGGGCCCCAACGCATTAACAAAATGAACAAAATGGTTGATTGTATGTTCCATTCCTTCTCAGCGGTGAAAGCCTTATTTGCAATGTTTTGGCGAATAGCACAACTCACTACTAGAGCCAAAATCCAGTAAGAATCAAGTTGGTGTCAAAAAGCGGTCGTAACTGCGAAAGACTCGATAGGAAAAAAGTTATGGTGCGCTAATTTTACCAAAGTATATGCTTCAGTGCTTTCTACTAGTGCTGCAGCTCTGGAATGTTCAATTAAACGGTACTGCTTCATCAGACAAGCTAAGCTTAGTCCATCCAAAGAGACACTGCATCCGAAGCGCTTTTACCAGTATCTGTTTAACGTCTGTATTTCCAAAATTTGCCACTTTTGTGGTTTTACCGATCCGAGAAGGTAAACTTCAACAAGTTCTTCTCATTTCACATCCTGTCCTCACGAAGATGTACGTATATCAGCACATGTTTGATCCCCATCAAAAGGATTGTCCGGCTGTTTCATAGATTGCCTGCATTCCAACGAAGCAGGTCTAAAGCAATATCGATCTATTTTCGAACGAGTACCAAACCAGACTATTTTACATTCCTGAACCATAGGCGCTGGGGCTGGTTCTGTCCGATTCTTCATGGAAAAACCTACATATTTCTGGAGAACCCGACGAAATTAAATTGAAATAAGCTGTAGACAGAAAACAATCCGACAGTTCCTCTTCTGCTACGTTCAACACAAAGGCAGAACACGGACTATGGACTGGACACCGTAGCTTAATCACAAAAGATTCGCAGAGTTTCCTCGTGTGGGATGACAGTGAAGCATATTCCAATTTGGAAGTGTCTAACTCCAAGCTGATCTGCCTAGTTTTCCCATACGATATACGACTTGCAACCCTGAGGTAAGCTTCAACACTGCGTGAGGGAGTTCTGTGGCATCCCCTATTCAAGATGGAAATTCAGGCGAATGATAATTGTCAAACCTCTGCAAATCCAATGACGAGATTGAATCCCATGTTTTGGCTTTAAAAAAAAGGGCTTTTGAATTGACTTCGGTAATCACTTGATAGTTCGCCTAACATGTCATCAGTCTATGTAAAACAAATGATTACCATTCTGTAGTTTTTACAGCTGACATTGACCGATTGATTTTTCGAAAATCAATAACTTTTCGGTAGGCCAAATTGTTGTTCACTTGTTCGAATCCATCGAGGTTATTGACGAACCGGTTGCAAACAAAAAAACACCGACCAAAGCAAGACTAAATCTCTCTTCAGTGAATCAACTTGTGGCTGAATTTTCAACTTGCAACAGCCAGCTCAGTACGAGTTCCTTCGCTGACAATGATTTACCTTATTACCTCGAATGACTGGAATCCTGGGTCGCCCGATGCATAAAGCGAAGTTCAATGAGGGGACAGGCGCTTAATTCTGTCACGTGATATCAAAAAGCAGTAAAATATACTGAGATGGTTCCCTTTCGTCAACAACAGTTCTCTTTAACAGTTTTCTTGCAAAAAATTGACGCGAGGATATGCTGATATTTGTACATTTTACAGGAAATGAACAACAACCATTACTGTACACTTTTTTTAAAAAAAGGAATCTACCGCAAGGTACTCCACCGCCATCCAAAACAGCCAATCTGTACACTTTTTTACCAAAAGGTATCTACCGCAAGTTACTCCACCACCATCCAACTCCATAAATAGATTGTAAATCAGCCCAGTCTACATTCGAAACTGGTTTAAAACTACCTGAGTCTCAATTAATACATCTGATAGTCGAGAAGCGTAGACCAACCACTATGGCACTCCTATTGATGCATTCCTGTCAGAAAGTGAGTCAACCATTCACAGTTAAGGTAGATAATTCCCCTCTTTTCCAAGAGAAGTCGTAAAATATCGCACTTTTTCGTACGCAGAGTGACCAAAAGACTGGACCTGACTTTCCGGCCCTCATTATATTCAGTTTACATTCTTCTCATCACAGAATTCAAGTTACACTGTCCATAACCGCCTCCCCGTAGCTTTTCATGCGTTACTCGAAGGCTAATTCGGGTGACACACGAATGTAAGTCGGTTCCAGCCCTAAAGCCAATACAATGTTCTCTCAAAACCTCTTGATGATAGGGTGTTCCAGGCTATACGCACTTTCCAATCCCTATTAGAGGAATGGGTTGGATTTGCGCGTTTCCATACTGATAGAAGAAGGAATTGATGTTCAAAGGCTGGTGTTTGTTCCCACCTCCTTTATCCCGTCTGGGCTGTTACTGTCCACAATTTCTGCATAGCCATCATCGATAAGGCTGTGTCTGTCAGCCGGGCGGCCCACTAAGTGTCCGGAATACTCTCCAGAAGCCGAAATCTCCGAAAGCCTGAAAAGTGTCCGCTCTTCCTCCTGTCGTCTTACCCGTAACTGTGATGTAGTTACGACCTCGTTACCTAAAGAGACAACCGAGGTGCTTAACCGAATTTTGCCTCAAATTCTACCGTTTCTTCCCGACCCATCCTGCAGCTCCACATTATTTTCTGTCACCCACCACTTAGTCTAGAATTGTTCCAAGACAATAAGCGCTTTGGACCTGCCGGCTCCAATTTTCCTCAAAGTCTCTGATCCAGAACGCGCTCAGTCGTATCTCGCGTTCTACGTCATTCACAGCCTTTGAGTATAGTTCCACGGGCTTGGAAAGTTTCAAGGCATTCTCTAATCCAAAGCGCAACTGTTCATTTAACCGAAAACCCATCATCTCACTTCCATAATCTCTAGTTCATCCAATTTTTGGTAGTCAACCGCTACGTAACCTGGAGGCTTGGAGGACACTGTCCTGTCCTGCTAGCAGCTTTTGGTGTTTGTATCACGTGCATGGTCATGTTTCCCGGACTGATATGATATAATTTGGTCGATCGAGAGCTTTTGGCTAAATATGGAACAACATCTTGAGTGTCAAGCTACGCTATGCGGACTACAACTTAACTCGGAGTGAAAATTTTCAGCGGAACTTCTTGATTCGCGAATGTATGTTGTCCTGAAGGGCTTCTACTCAAATTTCTGTTCTTTACCTCGCGTCTCCTAGCCTACTAATGACGGACCTCCTTCTGTTCCGTGTGACATTCTCATCTTTGCGGATGTTACAACCCTATACAATTTGACGATCCTGAAGATCTGGCTCATCAAGGATTATTGGTGAACAGGTTAATACAATTAGTACATCAAGCGATTTCGCAGGAACCTGCATCTGAGGCTCATTGAACGCAGCTATATTTATGGTCAACACATTGGTACACATTCCTCATTTCACCCGCGAACATTCCCATATTTTTTCACTACAACTCGGCTTTCAAACCACACAATTACCCGTTTCTTGATCTGCCCTCGTGACAATCTTGTCCGATCCCTCTGCGTGAGGTTACTTGTGACAAAAGCCTCCAGAAACCCGACCTACAGTTTCGCCGTCGCGAACAGTTTTCCCCATCTCAAATTCTCTTGTGTAAATCCCCGATACATCCCTCTGTGGAACAGGGCAGTCATAAATAGAACCGCGCTCTTTCTACACATCTTCCACGCCTAGATAGTATCCAACGGAAAATTGGGCGTTCATTATCTGGAAGCGACATCCCGCTTGCCATCTGCTTGTTTCTGTTACCACAGATTCTTCATTCAACTCGCCTTCTCTGTCCCACCTCCTCAACTTTTCAGTCGCCTAACCTGCCTGTTCTCTTCAGGCTACAAATAGGAATTAGCAGATCTATTTTCCCGCCATTTTTCCTGTCACGTCTTGTACTGTTCTCTTCAATCACTGTCCATAATGATACGCCACAGTTACGAGAGTAAACGTAGGCTCCACGTAAGGCTCCAGTCCATGTACGGATAGCTTATAATTATTCATTATTTCAGCAAAGAACCCGATTTCAGAGTTGGAGAATGTAACATGAACGGTAAGTAAAAACGTATCAACTCACCTGTTCTCCAATAGAGAGAACTCCGTATTGAAAAAGAACCTCACGGACCGCCCACTCAAATAGCTGAGACCATTTTGCCCTCCGCATCCGAGACAGGTGCATCAAAACCACACCAGAATTTACTCCATTTTTCTGAAACGATCATCGTGAAAAATCAGGATTTCATCAATCGGTTTTGCGCGGAATTCCAGAGTAATCCTACGTAACAACCCAAATAACGCTAGTGGAAAAACGTCCATTAACTTATATGGGATCTTGAATTCACAGAGCTCTCAGAACTTATATTTCAACAGTATGAACCATCAGTATTTTCCGACAGTCGTTGCATCGGTGAGCAGGAGGAATTTCGCTTTGGTAGTGGAAAACATTAACTTATATGGGATCTTGAATTCACAGAGCTCTCAGAACTTATATTTCAACAGTATGAACCATCAGTATTTTCCGATCCGACTTGCATCGGTAAGCAGGAGGAATTTCGCTTTGGCGGCTGAATTTACCCATTGTAGTCATGAGAACGAAGAAGGTAGCGAACAAAGCTTGTTTTCTGTGATTGTTCATCTTGGCTAATACATCACAAATTTATATGGTAGCAGAAATCACGTGGAAAAGGTTAAGATCGGGGCTAAACTTTAGAGAAATAGAAGTCAAAGGAAGGGGGTTTGGTGAGGGGTAGGTCAATGGGTCATGACGTCAATGTCAGACAGACTTGTGGGACCAGATGTTTCGTAGGCCAGTTCAAGTTCAGAGGTCGCACAAGTTTCTTTTGGATGCAAA